AATGTGTGTGTGTGTGTGTGTGTGTGTGTGTGTGTGTGTGTGTGTGTGTGTGTGTGTGTGTGTGAGGTCATGTGGTCAGACCTGTGATCAGTCATTGAGTGGATTCTCAGTGGAAGTAAAACTCTCTCTGAGTCTGAAGCGACTAAATCTACTCATTCTGTCAGCACCATCTGTGCTAACTCATGTCTGTTCTGTCATTGTGTAGTTCTGTGCTTTACGCCGGCCTTTATGAGAAGGTTAAAGCCGCAGAGACTCAGAAAGGAAAGAGTGTGACAGGTAACCATACAACTCACATTTATATTTAATCTCCATTTAATACTGTTTTCCTATTTTTTTCCTTTATTTGCAGACACAGATTTAGTTTTTAAGTGAATCTCATTTAAAAAAACAGGTTTAGGTCACATTTCTAATAATAATAATAATAATAAGGTAAATAAATTATCATTTGCATAAATAAAATGAAGCCTTTTTTTTACTTTAGATTTTTGGCTTTCTGTTTTCATGACTGAACCACGGTTGTTGTCTATTTTCATGACAATTATTTGACCTAGAATTATGACCTAGAAAGATGCAAATAAAAGTCTGGTATCTGCACTGCTGCACCCAAAAACATTTAATGAGCTCTACAAAACAAATCTGATGTTTTAAGGTACATGCTCTAGATCTCGTTTCTTTGCACTTTTCTATGATCTACACTACTGTTCAAAAGTTTGGGTTTGGTAAGATTTTTAATATGTCTGAAAGAAGTCTCTTCTGCTCACCAAGGCTGCATTTATTTGATCAAAAATACATTAAAATTGTGAAATATTATTACAGTTTAAAATAGCTGTTTTCTGTGTGAATAACTGTTAAACTGTAATGTATTTCTGTGATGCGCAGCTGTATTTTCAGCATCATTACTCCAGTCTTCAGTGTCACATGATCTTCAGAAATCAGTATAATATGCTGATTTGCTGCTCAAGAAACATTTCTGATTATTATCAGTGTTGAAAACAGTTAATAATAATAATACATTTTATTTATGGGCGCCTTACATGACACTCAAGGTCACCTTACATGCAAATAAAAAACATAAAACAGTTACAAGCAACAATAAAATTCAAACCCACTTCAAAGTCATTAGGAATAACATAAAATAATCAGCGGTATGCCTGCCTAAAAAGCTGCGTCTTTAAACGAGATTTGAAAATGGGAAGAGAGTCACTGTTTCGGAAGTAAAGTAAAGTAAATTACACAGATAAGGAGCAGCATAGCTAAAAGTTCGAGAGCCCATGGAAACCAGATGTGTACGAGGAAGAACTAAAGATAACGTAGATGATGATCTAAATGCTCGAGAGGGAGTATATGTTAAAAATAGGTCAAATAAGTAAGAAAGAGCCAGTTTATGTAATGCCTTATAAACAAGAAGCAAACTTTTGAATTCAGCATGCTGTTTAACAGGAAGCCAGTGCAGTTGTTGAAGAACAGGAGATATGTGTTCCATAGTAGGAGTTCTAGTAATTATTCGTGCTGCTGAGTTCTGCACTAGCTGTAACTTGTGTAAAAGTTTAACAGGAAGACTATAAAAAGAGCATTACAATAGTCAATTCGTGAAGTGACAAGAGCATAGCCCATAGTAGCAGTGCTCCTCATTGAGAGGGCTGGGCGGAGGCGATTAATGCTGATATTGATAAATGATAATAAGCCATCCGAGTAACCTTATGTGCGTCAAAAGATAGCGTATTATCCAGGATAACACCCAAGCTCTTTACCTGTGTTGAGGAAGTGATTATAGAACCATCGATACACATAGAAAAATCGCTGGTATTCAACTAATTATTTTTTGTACCAACAAAAAGTATTTCTGTTTTACTACTGTTAAGTTTAAGAAATTTGCGTGAAAACCAAGCCTTAACTTCAGACAAACATTTAGAAAGAGAAGATGGAGGAAGTTTAGAAGAAGGTTTTGCAGACAGATAAGAGTTGGGTGTCATCGGCGTAACAATGAAACTGTATACCATATTCCCTGAAAATTTTTCCAAGGGGCAGTAGATAAATGATAAATAATAAAGGGCCCAGAACTGAACCCTGTGGGACACCTGTAGTAATATGTGATTACTTAGATTTGAACTGACCTAGTTGAACAAACTGAGTACAACCCGAGAGATAAGATGTAAACCAAGCCAGAGAAGTGCCTACGATTCCAATGGACTACAATCTATCTAATAGAATTTTATGGGAAATAGTGTCGAACGCTGAAGTTAAATCAAGAAGAATTAAAATAGATAAAAGTCCTGAGTCAGCCGCTACCAATAAATCGTTAGACATTTTGACAAGGGCAGGCTCAGTACTATGACATGATCGAAAACCTGATTGGAATTATTCATATAGATTATTCACTGAAAGATGAGCAATGTACCTGAGCAGCAACAATCTTTTCCAGTTGCGCAATATTTTTGTGGAAATTATTATACTTTTTTTTTTTTTCAGGATTCACAGATGAATTGAAAGTTCAAAAGAACAGCATTTATTTGAAATAGAAATATTTTGTAACATTATAAATGTCTTTGCTGTCACTTTTGATCAATTTAATGCATCCTTGATGAATAAAAGTATTAATTTCTTCCGAAAGTCTCACTGACCCTAACTTGAGAACAAAACTGTATTTTGGTTGTGCACCTATTATTTTAGTCAGTGCATGCATTCTGTGCTCGTGTTTTGGACGGGTTTGGTGACGCGTGTGTTTCTGTAGGTGGTCTGATCTGCTCTAAGGTGGTCAAGGCGTCCGTTCATCGCTCAGATCTGCAGCAGCTCCACAAACTCCTGCAAGAGTTCAAAGATCTGAACGCACAGACGCGTCTGAAAGAGTCACGCCGCTGCGGACAGAACCGAGCACAAGTAAGACACGCTGGCACCTACAAATGCTTTGAAGAGGAAATACAATCTGAAAAGCATCAATATCACAGAGGCCTCTTTCACTCTCTTTATAAAGGAAGATAAAGATGGACAGCTGGATGATTGTTTCAGAGCTCTGCTTGAGGAAATGGAGAACTACCTCAATCCCGTTCTCTCTCAGTTTGACTTTTCATGCTTTAGGTACCAAAACACACATACACAAAATTAAAAAGTTTATCAGGTGTTTGTACTGCTAACAAGTTAATGCATCTATAAATGTGGCTTCTGTTTGCACCAGTTTTTTGCACCAGTCTCTCGTCTGCGCTCATGTTCTCTCTCATTTCCTCTTCTGTCTTATCACAGCGTTCGCTCTCCGTCCATCTCCACCACATCGGCCCGAGCCAAAGACAAGGACGAGAAAACTGCTGATAAACCTCTGCCGGGTACAAAACATCAACACACTCTGACCATAGAAAACATTGATAATAATCAGAAATGTTTCTTGAGCAGCAAATCAGCATATTAGAATGATTTCTGAAGATCATGTGACACTGAAGACTGGAGTAATGATGCTGAAAATACAGCTGCGCATCACAGAAATACATTAGTTTAACAGATATTCACATAGAAAACAGCTATTTTGAATTATAATAATATTTCACTATTTTTACGGTTTTTATTTTTATTATTATTTAATTTATTATTATTATTACTATTATTATTATTATTTTATTACTTTATTTTTTGTTTTGGTAAGCATAAGAAACTTCTTTCAAAAACATTTTAAAAAATCTTACTTTTATCTTACTTAAACTTCAAACTTTTGAACACCGATGTATTGGTATGACAATGATATGACATGACAATTAATTAGTATTTTATGGCGGATCTGTGATAGAGTCTTTTTAGAGTCATTTCATGTCATCTAATGATTCTTGATCTAAATATGCCTGACAAGATTTTTTTGGTATATGAGCTATTGTTATACTAAATGACATTTTCTTCTGTAAATCATGGTAAAAATGTACGATAGTTGTTAGTTTTGCTCAGAAAAAAAAATAATAATAATTTAAACCGGACACATTCTAATTTATGAAATATTGATAAAATATTATCAAATATTGATCAGATTTACAGCCGCGCATCTGAGATCAAGCCCATCTTTAGCATGTCTGCTGGTCTCATCAAAACATGGAAAAATTTAACCACTCGCAGTTCATCTTTAATCAATTTACTGCATCATTTATAGGCTTTGATTTGAAATGTAAACGTGCTGGATGTGTGTGTGTGTGTGTGTGTGTGTGCGTGTGTG